ACATTTTGAGCAATATCTTTACTGAACACAAAACACTTGGTAAGTAATCATCAAACGAATCGCTGACAAAAAAACTGGTACCAACGTAGGCTACTTAGTTGGGCTGGGGAACCACTATCCAGGGCAGATGAGGTCACTTACAACAGATGCACATCACCTAGGAAGCTTCCCAGTGCTTTCTGAAAATTTCCATTTCTGGCAAGTCATGTCAGCACCTGAAAAACTTTCGGATTTTAGAGGTTTTCGCATTTTGGAATTTCAGATAAAGGATACTCAACCAGCAATACAATATTCAGTTCTTAGAGAAAAGATACGTAACAGCAATTCTATCATTTGCGTCTAGAAATAAGAGGATAAGAAAATAAGAACTGTGTGCCTTGATCGTGTGGTTTATTGTGTCAGTTCTGGTAATTACTAAGCGCTAAATAAGAAGTGGTTGTTTTTGAACACTTGCTGTTTAGCCCTTAGTAATTACCAGATTTTAAATATTTAATCCATAGCTGGAGGGAGAAGGGATGGGTTCATATTTTCCCAAGGGTATTTACATGAAACTGAATGTAACAAACTTTACTGGACTTTGAACTAGGCTTAATGATTTCTTGTTCCAAGCCACTAAACACACATATAAATCTACCATTCATCCGTGCATTGGATACTGTTGCCATGTCTAGTCTGGTGCTCCTGCTGTACGTCTCAAGATTCTTGACAAAATCCAAAGAAGGGTATGTTATGTAATCTATCCTGACCAAGCATCTCAACTTCTGTCAATTTCTCACCAATATGACGTGGCTTCCCTCTGTCTTTTCTACTAATATTTTCATGGCAACTGCTCTGATAAGCTGTTTTCTCTGGTGCCCCAACCAACTTTAATTTGAATTTAAGTGTGCTACTTGATTGGCAATTAGGTGTCATTGTTTTACTCTTGAACTAGCTAGCTGCATCTGCCACTTCTACTTTAATAGTTTCTTTTCTTGCACTTCTTACCTGTGGAACTCTCTTCTGATTTCTTGCTTCCCTGATAAAAAGAATTTGTCTTGGTGCTGCCCTTTTTCAATGTACAAGATCAACAGAGTTCAAAAGTTCACATCAGACATCAAATATATTCGTGTCATCGCCAAAAATGCTGGAAGAATGGCCAGTTCAGTGTATCACTCCAGAAAAACCTTACTCCTGCTACCATAGCTCTATCTTTACAAGAAATTGCTGCCATATCTGGGCTGGGGTTGCCAGTCTCGGCAAACTTCAAAAGTACACATCAGACCTCATTGGGATGAATATATTTGTGCCATTTCCAAAGATGCAGGAAGAATAGTTGATTCATTGTATTGCTCCAGGAAATACCTAACTGTCATTGCCCTACCTTTCCAAGAGTCAGATTAGACCAAGAATGGAGAAATTGCTGCCATATCCGGGCTGAGGCTGCCTAATCCTCACTGTCCAGTCTCGGCAGAGTTCAAAAGTTCACATCAGACCTCAAAAGGGATGAATATATGTGTCATCGCCAAAGATGCAGGAAGAATGGTCGGTTCATTGTATCTCTCCAGAAAATACCTAACTCCCTCTGCCATTGTTTTGTCTTTACAAGAATCAAATCAGACCAAGAATGGAGTTTTGCTACCATATCTGAACTGGGACTGTCCAATCCTCACTGTTCTGCCTCAAGAGAATTCAAAAGCACTGATGCAGCCTTGTGGGTGAGGAATTATTCTTCACCTTGCAGCTCTTATCCCAGAGACAAAATGTCAGCCTTTTGCTACTATATCACTTTAACTATGGCAGATGTTTCTATGAGTTATATTCCTTTGTGCGACCAGCTTGGATCTTCGCAGCTAGGACTCGTCATGCTGTGTTCGGTTACAAACCATTTCCGTTCCAGTTGTGTTCTTTGATAAAAAGCAGGTTCCACTGAGTCAGCTTCTTCACCAGAGTTGTTACTTTGTGGAACAAACTCCTGAGAAAACGCATCCCTTACAACTACAACCTTGGTGTCTTTAAGTTCAGGGTCAACCTTGATATTTATCCTACTTGTCCTCATAATACTCTCTTAGTTCCCCGTTTTTTTGCAATGTCACTCAGTAACTACTTTGAATGGCTCTTGCGCTTTGTATTAGGTGAACTGTTAGTAAATAAAAAATAATAAAAATATGTCTTGTCCAGATCATTTCTGGAAATTTCAAATTCTTTGACAAACCATCTGTTAGTATGTTTGGAGGCACTTTTTCTTTCATTGGAAGCAAAAAATTTTGACAAGAAACAACCTATCGTTATTTTATTTTATTGTTTGAATAAAAGTTTGTTAATTATTATTACTAATTTTGACTAGTATTTACTTTCATTTACATTCTTGAGTTGCTTTCTATTGCAACTTTCCCCAAGCTGAATAAATATATTTAATAATAGATAAAAACCATTGGTTATAATTAGGCACCAAGGAAAAATTATTTAAATTAAATGCATTGAAAATACATTTAAACTCCTCCAATATCCTAATTATTTCATACTAGCAGCATGGCCCGGCATTGCCCGTGCTTGATTCAAAAATCATACGACTCATACAGCAACTGCTATCACTTGACTTAAAATATTTTTGTCCTTCCTTGCCTTTAAAGGAGTGCCCTTTGCTGTGTTGATGTTGCTACATGCCTTACTTCTTGCCTATCTCACACTGCGAATTTTTCTAAGCTCTATACTAAACATTAAATCTGTTACAAAAAAAGAACCAAACAAAATGAACACAAAACGATCAGCTTTAAAAAAGAACTTGTAACTGGAAAAACCGAATGAAAAAAGAATGTTAACAACAAATACTTTTTCACACCCAACCCAGTTCTGCGGAATCAGAATCAATGTTGAGTTTAAGCAAGCGAATGAGCCAATTGGAGTAAAGTGCCATGCAGATTTAAATTTTTCCCACTAGTGATGAATGCAGCTATTGATTTTTTTGCATGCTAGTATGCTAGTTAACATTCGTGTCAGTCAGCTGTTGGCTCTCACGCTGGCCAATAGAATCTTCCTGCCTATTTGTGGCAGCTAGCTATATGCTCTCACTCTGGCCAGTAGAAAATGGCCACAAACTACATGAAAACTGCCGTAGAAGCATGAAAAAATTGATTATTTCCACTATCGATGGGAGTTGGGAAATGCAAAGTTGGTCTTTGCTTTCCCTCTAACTTGGAGCATGTGCATGTAAATTTTGGTGCAAATCCGTCGAAAATTGCAGCCATGCATTCATTACACACACACACACACACACACATCCTGCCCTTTATAGATAGAGATTTAATGCTAAGTGGAAATCTCATCAAATCTATAAAAATAGGAGAATGAACAATATAAATAACCCTAATAAAACTAAACGTAAATTTTGCCTACTAACTTGTAATGTTGTCTTTGTTCAAATTATTCACACATAGAACAGAAATACTTAAGTAAAACAAATACTACTCAAATCCTACTCTAATGTGGCTACTTGCCATGTTTGTAAGCAGGAGCAGTCCATTGTCACAGTAGTAGGGAAGAGCAGGAAGTATGCTAAGTCCGACTCTACAACACAACTCTATCACTACAACTGCAAAGAATTTATCTAAACTTAATATAATCCTCTCTCTTCCTATACAGATCTCCTAGGCCCTGTTGGTCTAGTCTTGCTTTCTGTTGACATGCAGCTGTTCAATTGTTCTTCCAATATCTTAATCCTCATATGGCTACTAGATAAGAAGATTTTCCAAACTTGCTTAAGAATTGGTGCCAGTATAAGTTGTCGATCATCCAGTTTTGGTTCTTCAAGTGTTGTGATTCTTTCTGACAAAGAAATTTTTCTTTCTTTTTTTAGTTAATAAGCCATGGTAAACTTCTTGTTGATGACTGGAAATAAAGTCAAGCTCCCACCAAAGAAATAATAATGCCGGTTTTGGTTAAATATAGAGGATTTAATGAAGATGAATAAAATAATTTACTTTCAGATATATTTGGCATCTATTAACACAAAAAGATCAGAAGACAGTGAATTGGAATCTCACTCTATGTATTCAGCAAGATTCATTCAGAAATTCAAGTGAATATTGGCCCCTTCCCTTGTGTTGGTGTGCAACTGCGTGTATGTCTGATGACGTGTCTGTCTCTATCATTCTGACGTCTCTGACTGTCTCTGTCTGTATCCTCAAAATCAAGCTGAATTTATACATTATTCTCCACCCACATATCAAATTGTTTACACACAAAAATCACTCAATTTTTCATTGCTTAAAAGACAAAATCCTATGTTTTGATTTTATGCCATTTCATTCAGAGCCACTGCTCCAAAATGAAACATATCCAGCTGACATCAGAAACAGAATCAAATCACATGCTCTGACCTGTCCAATTTGAGGTCACACCTGGCCTGTCAACAAATATTCCTGCCTGGGAAAATTAGTAAGGGCTATAATAACGTATGCCAATCCATTCCAAATTGTTGCCTTGAAATTTAAAAACTATGATATCTGCCAATAAAGAGTTCCCTTGTTATAATATAACTTCTGTGCTTAATTAATAAAGAACAAAATAAGAGAAATGTAAAGAGGTGGGAATTTTCACTACAGCCTGTAATGAGTCATAAAAATATATGAGAGACTTTTAATTTAAATAAAAGGTTATATAAATACAAAAGAGGTCATTGACAAAACAACATACTCAATTCATTCATTATTCATCGTAATTAATCAAACCATAATTTCAATTCAAAAAATTCTGCTTTAATGTATAGAAAGTTCACTAATTTCTGTGTCTTCTGCAATAAATTTTCATCCAATTTCATATACCATTTTTTCTTTCTTAACAAATCTTCTGTTTGACAGAGTATAGGACATTAAAAAACAACCACAATAAAAAAACAAATGTGTTGAAAAAAAAAGAATTGGTTTCACTGTTGGATTTGATCATATTTATAGTTTGATTTATTTAATGTACTGATCATCAGGTTTATTTTTCACATCAATTTTCGTATGCTTTGTCTTTTTCAGGAGAATGGGCCGACAATTGTAGGTGATGAGTGGAATGATGTCGAACTTATGGAATATCTTGGTGCCAGTCTTTGTAAGCAACTTGGTAACAACTAGTAAGACATTTTTTTAATTATTCTATTGCCTCTTCTTTGATTTTCTTTCTATCTATCTCTCTTTTTTCATTTTGTTTTTTCTTTCATTGTCTCTCTTTTTTATTTTGTTTTGCTCATTCATTGTCTCTCTTTTTCATTTTGTTTTCTTTTTTGCCTCTCTTTTTTCATTTGTTTTTTTTCTTGCATTGTCTCTCTTTTTCATTTTTTCCTCTTTCATTGTCTCCCTTTTTCATTTTGTTTTCCTCTTTCATTATCTCCCTTTTTCATTTTATTTTTATCTTTCATTGTCTCTCTTTTTCGTTTTGTTTTCCTCTTTCAATGTCTCCCTTTTTCATTTTATTTTTCTCTTTCATTGTCTCTCTTTTTTGTTTTGTTTTCCTCTTTCATTGTCTCCCTTTTTCATTTTATTTTTCTCTTTCACTGTCTCTCTTTTTCATTTTGTTTTCCTCTTTCATTGTCTCTCTTTTTCGTTTTGTTTTACTCATTCATTTTCTCTCTTTTAGATTTTGTTTTTTCTTTCACCATCTCTCTTTTTCATTTTGTTTTCCTTTCATTGTCTCTCTTTTTCATTTTGTTTTCCTCTTTCAATGTCTCTCTTTTTCATTTTCTTTTCCTCTTTCATTGTCTCTCTTTCTCATCTTGTCTTCTTCTTTCATTTTCTCTTTTTTCACTTTTCTTCCTCTTTCATTGTCACTCTTTTAGTCTTCCCCATTCATTGTCTCTCTTTTTAATTTTGTCTCCCTCATAAAACAAAATTCCTTTATACCCTGCATCCTTTGTGTGTGTGTGTGTGTGTGTGTGTGTGTGTGTGTGTGTGTGTGTGTGTGTGTGTGATGTATAATAAGAATAAGAACAAATGGGAAAGTTTCTCACCAGTAGGAATTGAAAGCTGGTTTCAGTCAGTGGAAGTCTGAAATAAAGTACATTTAAGGCAAGCAGTCTTTGTCAGACCATTAATGGCATTTATACAAATTGATGTAATGTAATAACCTGTCACCCCCATGAGAGACTACACTATAGGTAGTAACTACCTATAAGTATCTGTAAGGCAATGGACTACAGAGACTAGCTGCGACCTGTTCTAGCTAAACAGTCAAACTCTCTGCCTCTGAGCAGAGAGGAACCTGGACAAGGCTCCGCCGAAAGGCAGAGTCTCCATTGGGGAGGTAGACTGCCCCTGAACCTGTTTATGCAGGTTCAAAAAGGGAATATTTTTGGCCGAGCCTACAAAGAACCCACATTAAACCGGCCTTGTGCCACATGCAATTCTCATGAGTGGGGGTAGCAAAATATACTAGTTGCAACCTGTTCCGGCTAAATAGTCGAACTCTCTGCCTCTGAGCAGAGAGGAACCTGGACGAGGCTTTGCCGAAAGGCAGAGTCTCATTTGGGGAGGTAGACTGCCCCTGAACCCATTTATGCAGGTTCGAAAAGGGAATATTTTTGGCCAAGCCTACAGGCTCGGAGGACCCACATTAAACCGGCTTTGTGCCACATGCAACCCTCGTGCGGGGGGTAGCTAAATATACTAGCTGGGATCTGTTATTCAGCCCTTTGCTGTCGTTAACTCTCTGCCTTTGGGCAGAGAGGAACCCAGACGAGGCTATGGTGAAAGGCAGAGTCTCATCTGGGGAGGTAGACAGACCCGTATCCATTTATATGGTTTTTACAAGGAATTATTGGATGAGCTACAAGCTTGGATTACCCCACATTAAATTTGGCCTTGTGCCACATCCTACCCCGTGGGGAGGTTGGTAAATATTACTAGCTGGGATCTGTTGAGTACGAGTCAGACTACCAACCTTCCAATAATAGCACTCACTACAGGATTGATGTGTGATGACATTGTGTATAACTGTTACATTTATTCTTATTGTACTGCTATTGTACAATAAACCTTTACTTATTTTATCCACCTTGTTTTTCAAGTATATATTTCTATTAGCATGGAATATAACACAAATATAAAATTTGTCAATTACCTGATTGATTCTATATTCAGCATCTAGACTCCACAGTTTCATAGACAAAATTTATTGTAATCGTTTGGTCCACTCGTCAGGAGATATCAGCAACTGTCTGACAATTTTCTCATCTTCATTATTTTTATATTAAGTTAAAAAGTCATTTATAGGCTTTTTATTAGTATTAGGTTGATTGTTTTCTTCTTTGTGTGTGTAAGTATGTAAACGCCTGTACATGTGTAAATTTGCACAAATAAACAATGTCATGGTTATTTCTTCTTTTCATAATTTTCTTGTCTACTTATACTCACTCACTATTCCTTTTCCTCCTTTTTTCTATCTATGTCCTTATACTCTTTCAATATTCCCTTTTCCTTCTTTTTTCCATCTATATCCTTATACCCTCTCACTATTCCTTTTCCTTCTTCTTTCTATCTATCTCCTTATAATCTCTCACTATTCCTTTTCTTTCTTTTTTCTATCTATCTCCTTATACTCTCTCAATATTCCCTTTCCTTCTTTTTTCTATCAATCTCCTACTCTCTCACCATTCTTTTTCCTTCTTTCTATCTTTCGCTCTGAATGTCAAAGATAATGTAACAATGTTATTTCTGGTGTCATAGGACTTATTTTTCAGTTAATTTTTTTTTTTAACATTCTGGATTTTTCTTAAGTTTTGGAAATATAGCTGTGGTCTGATCTATCTCCCCTATTAATGGATCTGTCCTGAACACATATATTCAAGAGAACTCTGCTGATATGAAGAGTATAACAAACGTGTGGGTTTGAAATACACTGCTTGTCAACCTCTCTGCTTTTAGATGGAGAGGAACCCAGACAAGACTATACCAAAGGGCACACTCTCGTCTGGGGAGGTAGACAGCCACCTGACCCCATGTATGCATGGTCTATGGGGAATTTTTACCTGAGTTTATGTGCTCAGAAAGCTTCATATAAAAAAACGCCCTTGTGCCATATCCTGCCTTGTGGAGAGGACTTGGGTAAATACCAAATATATTAAACCTTAGTGTGTGCCAAATCTCTGAGTTTTAATGCACTGATTATCAATCTTTCTGCCTTTGGGCAGGGAGGGTCCCAGACGAGGATATGCCAAAACGCAGAATCTCATCTGGAGATGTAGACAAATCTGACCCCCATGTATACAAGGTTACTGGGTGTTTTTGCCTGAGCCTAAAGACCCACGTAAGACTTGTGCCCCACCCTGCTCTTTTGGGAGCTCGGGTAAATATGGGTATATCAAACCTCTGGGTTTGAAATACACTGCTTGTTGACCTTTGGGCAAGATTTTTTTTTTGTGTAATTTTCGTAAACACATGTTAAAATGAGATGTCTGTTATTTTCATTTTTGCGTAATTTAGATGAGGATTTATCCATCACACCCTGTATATACACATATTTTATTTTGTATTCTAGTTTGGAATATCGGACACCTGATCCCCCCCGAATTGTCCTGAACAAACTTGAGGTCAAAGGGTATAGCATGACTGGAATGACAGGAGTTGGTCAGACCTGCATCTGGACAATGTACAAGCCAGCTGAAGAGGGACCGTTTGCCAAAAATGACAATGAGATATCGAGCATAACACAAAACCACGTTATGCAACAAGTCGACACCAAACAGGTCTCTTCATAAATGTTGATCTTTCTTTTCAGCAATAGAAAGACGTGGCATATTTTTGAAAAAAAAAAGCTTCTTTCTTCAAACACAACATTTATTAACTATGTCCTAAATTCTCATTGTCTTACTCAATGGCACCTGTAAATGCATATTGACTCATTGCTTTGTATTACAGGCTATAAGGTGTGTGTGAAGGAGTTACCTCCCTTATGTGGTTTTCTTTTTGCAGAGGTTAAAGTTAAAATCAACATCTTATTATGTTGTACATTATCATTTTATTGGATGCATGTTCTAAACTTTAATCAGATCTTTGGTTAAGGAAAATGCTTGCTTGAGTAAATTTAAAACAAGGAAACATTTTTATGCATGTTTAACCAGGTACATTTTGTGTCATTATCAAAAGAAATTATTTCTTTTTTTATCTCAGGTGATTAAAGACATATAATACAGTATAAAAACATGTGTTTCAGATATGTAGTCTATTAGATTTGCTGCTAACTTAAGAATGAATATTTTACATTCCATTATATCAAGGGTTACCAGATTTTCCAAATTGAAATACAGCTCACCTTTTTCAAATTTAAATTCAAACGATTTCTAATTTTCATAGACAGGTATAGATCAAAGAATATATCACTAACATAACTGTCATAAGTTGAATTGACAAGCTGAATTTAAATTCTGACTAAGTCTGTTATATTCATTTTGCACTAATGCCCTTGGGAAAGGCAAGAACCCATCTCTTATCCATACCAACTAAGGATTAGCTAGCATGCCAGACTAAGCTTTCTAGTCTTAGTTGGCAACCTGTCTAGGAGAAGGATTATGCTGTTTAGATCCATACTATTGAACTCATCTTTGTTGTTGTAATCACAACGTTTTGGCCATTATGCTCTCTGACCGTCATCAGGTGTATATTGATCCGGGTAACCTACAGGGAATTCTGAACTGAACTCTTCACTCAATCTATAGACTGTTCTTGTTTCATTGCCCATCTCTAAGGATATCTCGTTTTGTTCTTATTTTTAATTATTGCTCACTCTGTTTTCACTAAGTCCAATTATACACTGCCTCATTCAGGGATTGAACTCACAATTACTATATCACCTAATTCATGGACCAATATGTTAATCCACTAGACTATAATCCACTTTAATCCACTTGAACAAGAGCATAGTGGATAAAAAAATAAATTAAAAAAAAATAAAAGCAAAATATAGAATATATAAAATAAAAAATTAAATAAAAAAAATAAATTAAAAATTAAATTAAATAAAAATAAAATGGGAATAGCAACTCAAATACATTAACCGTTATCTTCCGCACATATCCTCATAAACTTGTGTCTCTTTCTTCTCACTCTGTAACCCTCTACCTCAAGTGGCTCTTGAGCCATGAAAATTATAGTAAAAAAAATAAAATGAAGTAAAACTCAGTTTTCTTTATTTCACTCAACTTTATTAAGCATTAAAAACTGAAATTCACTCCCAGTAGGGTTATATTTTAAATATGAAATAAGGCTCAAACTTGAGAATTTTTTCATCTTGACCAAACTCAGCTAATATTACGTGATGCTAAAAAAAAAAAACTCTAAATTCAAAACTGTCAAGAAGACAAAGGGAAATCTCACCATTTAATTTTCCTAAGAAGTCATGGCAATTCACATATATTAAGGAACAGGAAGGTGTGGAGAGCTATGATCGCTTATACCCTAAAAAAATAACAATTGAAAAAAAAAATGTGTCTCTCTTGACTTGAATATTACAGCATAGGATAAACTTATATGAGAAAAAAGAATGTAAATTTGAAATGGGTGTCCTGTATTTTGGCCTTAACCAATCTGTAAACTCTATAATACTTGAGAATAAATAATCTCTTCACAAAACTTGGATATATATATATATATATATATATATATATATATATATATATATATATATATATATATATATATCTGGCCTGAAATTTGCAGTAAGGGATATGTTCTTGAAAGATGCAAAAAGTTCATTTGTTCAAAAAGGAGGCCAGTAAAATAAGGAGACATGTATTTCTCCTAAATTGATTTCTTCTTTTTTTTTATGGTATCAGCATTGGATGGC